TAAAGCTACAACATGGGACCCACAGCTTAAAGTCCCTCCTGCAGGACTTGTTCCCTGAATTTTTCCGCCCTTAAAAATTCCACGACCTCCGCTGGGTTTGAACCCGCGTACCTTGAGTCATGAGGTGGGAACGTTACCCCTAGACTACAGAGGCCGCTTTATCTTACTTATTTATTTAATCCATTCCTCTTATGGTGTCAAGGTTTTTATTTTATTTTGATCATTTCATAGATGGTAGGACACTTCGGACGAGTGATCAGCTCATCATAAGGCCTCTACCTTAACACAGAATAAACACATTCACATACCAAACATCCATGCCTTCTATGCAATTCAAACCCACAATCCCGGCTTCTGAGCAAGCAAAGACAGTACATGCCTTAGACTGCTCAGCTACCATGACTGGCTGACCACATTATCACTGTAAGAAATTCCAGGCTGTTATGGTAGCGAATATGAGGATTATGGTCTATAAGATGCTATATAATTCTGTAGATAGATACCAACATTTCAGGGGAACTTCCTGCCTCTGTCTTCATAGTATAAGAGGGTGCAGTGCAGCAGGTTCCTCCAAATGTTGATAAATACCTACCTGACTATATGGTATCATATCCCAGAAGGTTTGACTACACTTAGACCCTATTATCTTTACATATGATTTAAGGTTCTCATGGCAGTTAATATTTAGACTGGTCTTATGGGATGTGACATCAAATAGCTTAGTAGGTAGGTACCATTTATCCATCTATCTCCGTGGCTTGTAGTCCGCAAGCGAACTATACTGACCAAGCAATCGCCGCGAAGTTAGTGTTAACTTTAGCGGATAGACAGTGTCACATGGTCAGCTCAATGAATCCCCACAGAAGTTAATCTCGGTTTTCTAGACTGGAAGGTAGGTACCATACACAGCATTATATATGAGATGATCATAATCATATTAACATTGTTCCTGAAGTGAAATCCAGCTATCAAACTTAGAGCCATTCTTTCAACTGGAAGGCAAAATAATGCCAAGGAGTATCATATGCAGCAGCTGAAATACTGGACTCTGTTCATTATTCAAAATTCCCAGTCAGTGATGCAATCATATCCCAGAACCAAATTATTAAATAAAGGGTGGAATGGAGTGTAGGTAATTTAATGGCACAGTACCAACCGCAGCTGTTCACTAGTATCAAATGATATGAGAAGATAACCATGTTTAGTGCACTTGAAGGCACTGGAGAGGAAGTGATTATGCACTGTTTTCTAGATATTATCCTGGACTTCAACCGAAGGGACTACAGAAAGCCATAAACAAGTACAGTGAGGATATTCAGGGTCCTGGCCAAGATTTGAACCAGGAACCTTCCAAATAAAGTAAAAACTATTATCGTTTGATTTAATTTGTTTAGTTAAGATAGACAAAAAGCACAACAGACCACTGTATGTCACGGTGAAAGGGCTGAGAAGGCCTAGGCCTCATACATTCATTCAAGATCGACAAAGGACTTGCTTTCTGAAAAACTAATTTCCTAGAATGTTCCATGCGTTTTATGAATTAGACAGTGATGGGCAGCTCTTCGGTGTAAAAACAGCCATTACACTGTTTCAGTGCCAAATCAGGAAAATTAAATTTAATTTCTTTCCTACAAAAAAGTGTGAGATATGAGGTTCTCATTGTGAAGATGTGACTTTGTGCAATTGGTAGATTGTTAACAAAGTTTCAGAGGAACCTGTTGCTTCCACCTTCAGGGTGGCAGAGTAAGTTAAGAAGGAAAGAAGTGGTATTACATAAAGAGAGAGGATATGTCTGGGGACCTGGCATCATGTCCCAAAAGACAACAATATTAAAAGAAGAAACAAATTTATTTTTTGCTTAATTTCTCTCTTGCTTTTAGAATTTATAGACGCTTATAGTGACATCATGTCTTTATGACTGTAACTGTCCCCCATATTAAAGCCAACTGACAGACTGTCATCTCTTTGGAGCTAAATTAACAAATTAATGTTGCATACAGTATCAAGACCATGTAATGTTGGATAGCAAGATGACTGATGAATTGGAAAGGATTTGAAAGAAAGGTGTCATGCCCTAATTCAGGCACTACCTAAGCATATACCCGAAGAGACTGAGGAAAACCACAGAAAATTCAGGATAGCTGGTGTTCATGCCAAGATTCGAACTGAGCACCTCTTGAACCCAAATCTAGAGCATCACCTTTAGATAAAACAATTCAGTGACTGATTTTCATGAAATTTATTATGAATATTAAATTACATTTCATGTTGAGATCCTTAGATTTTAAAAATATGAAAGTTATGTTAAGGTAGTTTCTGAATATGGCAGCCATGTCAAGAAAGCTGTTTGTTCAGCATAAGTTCATAATGTGACAGTAAAATCGTAAATTTGGTGATGGAAGGCTTTCAGCAATAGAATTGAGAAATGAAAATTACAATAAAATCCTCCAGACAGAGCAGAAAATATAACAGCAAGAGTCCAAGTTCCCTGAAACGAAGCTAGGAACAGCCAAATGTTTACATGATGAATGAGAATCACTGAATGATAAGGTGGCAATGGAGCCTATATCAGCGAGTTGTCTTTAATCTAGTATGCTGCCCATAAAGCTAATTATTACATAATGAGGAGCACCATAATTTTAGCTCTACAAACATTTTTAAGGAAGTCAAAACTGAGGGGTTATGGGTAAAGCATACAACATTTTGGTCAGAAAACCTGACGGAAGAAACTAGTTGGAAGTAATAAGACTACATCAGAGGATAATATTAAAATGGATTGTGCTAGTGTTATATTTGACTTTATCCATCATGTGTTGTATGTTTTACATACACAGCATTTTTAAATTTGACTCTTCTCCGGGCTCAGGTCATTGTTTGTCATTATAAAGACCAGATTGGGGCTTTGCAAGGACCTACACCATTATAAAAGATAAACCCCATGTATCCCCTCCAGAAAAATGAGCATGGAATATATATGTATATATTTCGATGAGATGCAGTGAGACATTATTTTCCAATTCCCCATCCATGACCGTGATTGGCCACTCCTGTCTTCCTGACCTGTCCACACCTTTCCTGTACAACCTGACATTATCCCCACTTTGCATAGCTTTACCCTGAAGATGGAGGCAATATGTCCCTCCAAAACACTCTTACTCACCTGCCAGACCACATAATGCCATAACACAGAAGATCACAATATGAATTTTAAATACTGGCAAATTAACTTACTTCTTTTCTCATAGCTTAATTTCAGTTCTTCCATTTCTTGAGACCGACATAGTTTTAACTTTTCTTTATCAGATTTCCAGTTTTCCTTCTCTTCTGACAATTGCTGTTAAGAGAAAAGACAAAAAAGTATTTTTTTTATAAAATATCTCATAGATAAATTTTTAAGGCTTATCATCATGCTCACAATAGCCCTTCACTGGTACCTATCCTGAATTTGCTTTCTCACCAAAGTTTGATATGTATTCCTCATATTCTCCTTGCATGCTATATTCCCTTCACATCTTATCTTCCTTGACTTTATCATTATAATTATATTTGCTTGAACATATCTATCTTGCAGTTTAGACAGGTCTCCATTTTGGGTAGCAATTTTAACATGTTAATGTGGCGCATATTTTTTTATAATTTTCGAATGTGGTTCATAAAATTCTTGGTAGGGAAATGAAGTCGTGGCAGGAGGGAAATCGCGCAACTGGCGCAAGGAAGACGGACAGAAGATTGCGGCGATTACTACGAGGTATTCATGTACTATTAAGAAGCATTTTCTGTCATAGAATTTATTTTACGTTTCTTAAAAATAAACTACAATTCAACATACTCTTTTCGTGTCAGCCAAACTTGCTTCTAGTTGTTTTATGTGCTCCGATAGCTTAATATTTTCGTCTGAAAGTAAGAAAAGAAAAATCATGCGTTTCATATGAAACATTTGGTTTCATATATTTAAACTACTAATAAATTTCAGCATACTTTTAACTTCAATGAGATGTGAAATAGTCTCTTGCTGTTGAAATGCATATTCCCGACTGACTTTCAGCTTATGGCGTTCCGATTTTTCTAAGTCTCGAACAATTTTATTTTCCTCCTGCAAGTTCTTTGTCATCCCTTCGAACTTCTGCCGAAGCACTTGCTCCCTCAAATAAAACTGAAAAATTTATAAATACAAATTATTGCAACAATGTCCATGACAAGATAAAAATGTACGTGTATAATACTTTCGGAAATTCTGACAACCTCTTTCAGTTTGATGAAGTCTGTTATTATATTACTCAGATCTGTATTTAACTCATATTCGCCACTCATTTTAACGATAGAGTTTTCGTAATATATTTTAATCACTACAATTATCTACAACACCACCGCAGGCTGAATAGAGTACAATCAAATCATGATCCGTACCGATCCATACTACCCGTACCAAGGAATCGCCTGTGGTAATATCGATCACACATGCTTTTGGTTATCGATAACATGATATCTACGAAAATGAATTTATTTTTGTGCTGCATATAAGTCGATATGAGATTCAAACGATTCCGAAGGGCAGAGGGCAGAGAGTTTGATCTTAGTTTAATGCTGGGTTCAGACGTTTCAGACCTCTTCGGACGGTGGAATGATCAAACGGTCGTTAATTGAAGTAGCCATGCTTTATAAGCTTATAGTTGTTAATTTACTTAGGAAATATCCCACATTTTACGGAAGAAAGGTTAATTACCGTGTTTACAAGAGGCCACCACTCTACTTATTCCGAGGATTAATTCGAGTTGAATGTGACATTCGGTGTTTATAACGGCGGTAACTGTTAAGATCACTGTCTTCTGGACTGTAATGATATGTAGTCGAGTAGAAGGTCGCAAATGTTTCAGAGGAATATGTGCCTTCATCGTCGAGGTTGAAGAGCAAACCAAGCGAACAACCAGCAAGAAGTATACTGTATATATTTTTTTCTTCTAAAATTTAGAATAGCGTTATTGCAAAGTTATTGAGTTGAGGACTACTGCGCAGTACTGGGTGCTTCCTTGGCTTACTCTTTGACCCGGAAGATGAAGTCGTACATTTCTTCAAAACATCCATCATGCAGCATAACGGAATCACCATTGTGTGACAACAGCCTTCAGATGACATGTGGAAATGTTCGTGACTTTTATTTGTGAGGTGACTGGTTCAAATCTTGGCCGAGACACGGACTATCCTGAGGTATTCCGTGGTTTTCCTTAGACCCTTCAGGTAAATTACAGTTTAGTACATCAAATTAAGCCATGACTACTTCCTTCCAAACACTCCCCAATTCATTATTTACCATTCAGTGTTTCATAGCCTCAGTTACTGACAGTGTCACTAAATAAATTACAAACAAAAATAAAAGTGACAGCTTTGGTTACAGTACTTGATGCAAACAGGCGATGTGGTCTACACATGGTTTCCTTGGACACACAAAATTCGTTTGCATGAAATTCCATTTTTAGCATGAATAAAATTAACTTACTGAGATACTATGTGGCACGTGGTAGAATAGTTGGTTAGGGCACTATAGTACAGACCAGAAGGTTGTGGGTTCGATTCCTGATGTGGTCATTGGTTATTTCAATTGACCTAATCCTTCCAGCCACACTATGGCCCTGGGGTTGAAGACTGGCCAGCCAATAAGGCTGACAAACTCACCGCCATTTGTCAAGAAAATGTGGGAGCCTTGACATCTCACAACTTTCTGGGCCTCCACGGGAGGCTATCTACAGGGATATCTTTATTTTCTTGCTGAGATACTATAAAGTACTCATCTTGCTGTAGTTATCTCTTTATGTATCCCTTAATCAAACTTAACATACCTATTAAATTATACAGTGTGTTTCATCATTTTACATACCATCATGTTTGTCGTTTGTATTTCTCCATCAATTAGAATTTAAAAGTATATTTAACGTGAGATCATTCATTTTGGATCTTCACAATGAGAAATTTAAAAAATGCACCTATTTGCTTCATCAAGCGTCTGTTCATCTTTATGTGTGTAATAAGCTGAGGANCCAATAAAATGAATTATCAATCTTCTGAACCGTGTAATCAAAAATTTCATCAATACCATAAAATGAATGTAAATGGAGAAATTGTAATAGTGCTTTCTTGAATCGATTTTTGTTTTTCATTAACATTTCATTAACTTGAGAACCATTGAAAAGGTATGTTACTGCTTGTCTGTCCCACCTGTTTTATGCTATTTGTAAAGAGTATCAAAAGACACTGAAAATCTAGAGGCAATAACAGGGCCAACACATCTTAACTGCTTACTCGTGGAGCTGAGCCCTTCTTGAGGAGCTGCCAATTCTGCAGCTACTGAAGAATTTCCCAGCATTTTATGGAACTCACAGGTTCATTACCATGTGCACAAGAGCCTTCCACTGGTCCCTATCTTGAGCCAGCTCAGTCCAATCCATACCATCCCATCCTATCTCTCTTAAGATCTGTTTTAATGTTGTCCACCCACCTACGCCTTGGTCTTCCCTGTGGTCTCTTTCCTTTTGGATTTCTCACCAATATCCTATATGCATTCCTCTTCTCCCCAATTTGTGCTACATGCCCTGCCCACCTTATCCTCCTTAACTTGATTATTCTAATTCTACTTGGAGAAGAGTACAAGTTATGCAGCTCATTATGCAGTTTTCTCCAACTTTCTGTCACTTCATCTCTCTTTGGTCCAAATATTCTCAACAACCTGTTCTCAAACACTCAATCTATGTTCCTCCCTTAATGCCAGAGACCAAGTTTCACACCCATACAAAACCATAGGCAAAATTATAGTTTTGTAGACTCTAATTTTTACGTTCTTAGACAGCAGACAAGAAGACAAAAGGTTCTGGAATAAATGGTAGCAAGCATTACCCGAGTTTAATTTCCTCTCAATATCCTCCTGAATCAGGTTCTGATTTGTTATTCCCAAATACCTGAACTGTGCTACAGTTCCAAAACATCTATTTCCTGTCTTTATGTCATGATTTTGCCCTGCATTTTGGTGATGACAACATATACTTAGTTTTCTCTGTGCTTACTTCTAGACCAACCTACTTACTTGCATCACTTAAAGTTTGTGTGTTTCTCTGTATGGTATCTATATTATCACCCAGTAGGCCACACCATAGCTCAAGCGGTTTATTTGCTGGCTTCCAACTGCGGTGGCCCGGGTTTGATCAAGTGGGATTTGTGGTGGACAAAGTGGCGCTGGGGCAGGTTTTCTCTGAGTACTTCAGTTTCCCTGCCAATCTTCATTCCACCAATTGCTCCACAATCACCCTCACTAATCATCTGGGGCTGGTACAATAGGCCAGAAGTGGCCACAGTACAAGGGACTTAGTCCCACCCCACTAGCAATAAAGAAAAATTACCCAGTACATTCACATGATCAGCATAGACTAACAGCTGATGTGTCCCATTTAATTTCAGTCCCACTTGGGTTTCCTGGACCTTCCTAATGGCATATTCTAAAGCAAAGTTGAAAAGCAGTGCCTGAACAGAAGAAAGAATTGATGATATAAAGGACAAGTTCTACAAAGAACACGTATTTGATAAATTCCTGAAGTGCCATATGAAAATTTTGCTGGGAGATTTCAATGCCAAATTAGGGAGGGAAGACATTTGCAAACCGATTGGGAATGAGAGTTTACATGAAATTAGTAATGATAATGGAGTCAGAGTTGAAAACTTTGCCACATCCAAAAATTTTACTGTCAAAAGTACAATGTTCTCACATTGTAACGTTCATCAATTTATTGGACATCTCCTCATGGGAAGATGCACAATCAAGACCATATTTTGATAGAGAGGAAACTGCATTCAAGTATACCTGATGTCTGATCATTCAGGGCAGCAGATTGTGTTACTGACCACTACCTGGTGGTGGAAAAACTTAGGAAAAGACTGGCACTGAGTAAACAAACAATGCACAGAATTCATATGGAGAAATTAAGAGGTAGGGGATAGGAAGCAGTATTGTGTTGAAATCTCAAATAGGTTTGCAGCTTTGTAAAACCAACACAGAGATGGATGTTAATAAAGCTTGGAAAACTATTAGAGAGAATATAAAAATTTCTGCCAGAGATAGTCTAGGTTATTATGAACTGAAGTAGCATAAGCCATGGTTCAATGAAGTATCCTAAAAATTATTAGACGAAAGAAAACAAGTCAAATTGACTTTTGCCATCTCGTCTGCTGTCTAAGAACGCAAAAATTGGATTATACAAAACTATAATTTTGCCTGTGGTTCTGTATGGGTGTGAAACATGGTCTCTGACATTAAGGGAGAAATATTCATATCAAAGAGAGATGTAGTTACAGGAGGCTGGAGAAAACTGCATAATGAGGAGCTTCATAACCTGTACTCTTCTCCAAGTATAATTAGAATGATCAAGTCAAGGACGATGCGATGGGCAGGGCATGTAGCATGAATGGGGGAGAAGAGGAATGCATATAGGATATTGGTGGGAAAGCCAGAAGGAAAGAGACCACTGGGAAGACCAAGGTGTAGGTAGGTGGGCAAAACTGAAATGAAGCTTGAGAGAGACAGGATGGGATGGTGTAGATTGGATTGATCTGGCTCAGGATAGGGACCAATGGAGGGCTTTTGTGAACACAGTAATGAACCTTTGGGTTCCATAAAAATGCTGGGAAGTTCTTGAGTAGCTGCACCACTGGCAGGTTCTCAAGAAGGAATCAGCTCCATGAATGATGAGTGAGTGATGTTATTTGTCTGAAATACGAGGGTCATACTCAAAGTCATGAGCAACAATTTTTTTTAAAGTAACATGCTTTATTATTGACAAACCAAATACACCACCTCAATCTACAGGCATTTCTTTATTTCTCCACATAATCGCCACTTCTTTGTACACATTTCTCCCAGCGTGCTGGGAGTTTGAAAATTCTCCTTCTGCAAAATTCTGTTCCAGCCATCCGAAGACACTGATGCACTGCTTTCTGAATTGCCTCCCTTGTCTCAAAACGTTGTCCATACAGCTGATCCTTCACAAATCCGAAAAGATGGTAGTCGGAGGGTGCCAGATCGGGCTATAGGAGGGGTGTGGAAGAACTTCCCACCCCATCTTTGCAATTGCTTCCAATGTGAGGTGAGCGTTGTCATGCAGGATGATGATATTTCATCCCAGACGTTTATCGCGCAATGCATGATGGAGCTTGTGCAGCGTCTGGACATAACGAGCAGCATTGATGGTTTGCCCAGGTTCCAGGAATTTGGCCAGGATAAACCCCTCTGCATCCCAGAAGACTGTGCCCATCACCTTTGCAGCTGATGGTACTGTCTTTACCTTCTTTTTTGATGGAGAATGCAGATGGTGCCATTCCATTTTCTGCCATTTCATTTCAAGCTCGAAATGGCAAAACCAGCTTTCGTCACCTGTCACACTATAGAGAAAAAAATCATTGCATTCGTGTCAATATCTCTGCAGCAGTTCTGAGGTGATGGCTTTTCACTGACCTTTGTGGTCTTCGGTCAATAACCGCGGGACCCAACGAGCACAAACTTTCCTATAGCCCAAGCTTTCAATCATCTCCTGTACTGCACTGTGCCCTATTCCAAGTTTTTGGGCTGTTGTTTCCACAGTCACACGCCTGTCATCTTGAATGATCTCATCCACTCTTTCCTTGTTGCATTCAGTCGAGGCTGTTCGAGGACAACCACTCCGAGGCTCATCTTCGATGCTGGTGTTCCCATCTTTAAAGTGTTTCACCCATCTTTGAACACTGCTCGCACCCATGCACACACTTCTATAAGCACGCTGAAGTCTCTGGTGAATTTCTGCAGCAGGGATTTCCTCTTTCACAAGAAATTCGATGACAGCACACTGGCGAAACAACATATCGTCAGCCATTTTGTTAGGAGTGATACTGGTCACGTGATGCAAACTACTGATGTCACAAGACACTCAAGGTTAACATAACAGCTGGTTCCACCTACCACCATACTCTCTTTCATCTGCTGTTCCCAGGTTGCGTGCAAAAAAAGTTGCTTATGACTTTTGGCACAACCTACATATTTAATGAAGGAAATATGAATAATGTATTTCTGTATTTATCATTGGCACTGCCTGCTTCTTGCTGATTACTTGCTTGGCTCACTCTTCTACATTCTCTTTGAAAATCTGTCAAGACACCTTGACAGGAGACCAGTTTCAAGTTTAATATATTTCCAAATAAGAACTTCAACATATGAATCTGAACTTTTTACAGAGGAGACATGAATGCATGCATAACAACAGAGGGCTTTTGCAACACCTGGAATAATCTGGGTAAGTTTTGTTACTTGTTTAATTTCTACATTTGTACAGTTTGCTAGCAGTCTGTATCTCTGTGATCCGACATCCTGGAAGGACCGTCCGGCTCTTCTGCCTGAGCAGTTCAGTGATTTCTGGGAACCTCTAAAAATAAACTATATACTAATATTTACATGTTGTTTAAATTAACATTAATTATTATGGGTTTATATTTTATTTAAAGAAAATATTTGTATGTACACAACATAATCATAGCCACAACAGAAATTAATTAGCATTTTCACATTACTTTCTTATGTAACATAGTCATGTAAGTCCTTCTTTCTCCTTCCATTTTGCCTTCAACTCTGCAAGCTTCTGCTGTCGACGACTCTTCTCTTTACTTTTTTTAATCATAACAGCTCTTTCTTGTGCTTCAATACTTAATTCGCCATTCAGAAAATTGTCTAATTTTGTAATTAGAGTATTTCTTGCAAGTTTTCTATTTTCTTCTTGCAACCGGGATTTGTGACATTTTACTGCAATACCTGCTGATCAAAAGTGAAATTTGATTAATGATTTATGCGATCTGAAGCTTTCATAGTGACACTGTGCAATGAAGTCTTCTCAGACAATCAGACATATGAAGATAAAGTTAGCATCCCAAGTTTAGAGTTTGTCTCCACCATCAGGGGCTGGTGTTCAATCTAGGAAACTGAGATTAATGGCTGTTGGGATCCATTCCACTGACCACGTTACACCCTCTATCTGCAGAAGTTGGCACTAACTTTGCCGACAAGTGGTGGTTGCTTGGTCGGTATAGTTCGCTTGTAGACTACAAGCCACGGAGTCAGTCATCATGGGCTGGTGAGGTGCACGAACTCCTGATGGGAAAGATGAAGACAGTCTCTGACACTGGATGCCAATCCATCTTCATACAGTTAATCACCTGAGAAGACTTGAGTAATAATTATTTACAGTGAAAAAACAAAAGAATTTGTATCACCCAATGCTTGAATGGAAGGAACAATCCTGAGAAGTATTTGTATATAAATGAGTATAATCCAAAGCATTTATTCCTATATACCCATTAATTCTTTATTATGCCAATTTTTATATATTTTATAAATGACAACTGACTTAACCATAAAATTCTGTATCTTCAACTCAAGAAACTGAGCATACTGGTGTAGAGGTAATGCACAAGACATGTTTTTGGTAGGTGCTCAGTTCAAATCTCTGCCAGCGCAATGGCTATCCTAAACGAGGGTTTTCTGTCATTTGCCTTAGTCCCTTCAAGCAGATTCTGGGATAATACCTCAATTAGGCCATGGCTGGTTCCTTCCAAATCCTTTCCAATTCATCACTGATCAGTCATTCCATCGTCTGATGATATATATTGCTAACACTGAAAACAGTGTTAAATAACCACACTATGACAGAAAATTAAGTAAAGAAGCTGTCAGTTGATAAAGATATTTCCTGATTTTATTGTACTTGAAAGTTCATTACCACATTTACAAATCCTATTACTGGACTCTGTCATGAGCCAGCTTAATACAGTTGACGTCCTCACATATTGTTTATGATCCATTTTAATATCCTCCTCCCCTCTGAGCCTAGGTCTCTCACATTGTCTCTTCTCTTGAGATCTTCCAAACATAATTCTGTATGTATTTCCTGTATCCCTCTACATCCTGCTACCTTTGTACCTTAAAATCCAATCACATGTACGATCTCACCTTAACAACTCCACGGAGCTGAGTCCTTCATGAGAAGCCACCCGTCTCTCAGCTACTCAACATCTACTTAATATTTTATCAAACTCAAAGGTTCATTACCATGTCCAGAAGAACAAGCCACTGGTCTCTATCCTGAGTCATATGAATCCAATCCATACCACCCCATCTTATTCTCTGAGATCCATTTTAATATTATCCTTCCATCTACATCTGAATTACCCTAGTGGTCTTGTTCCATATGGCTCTCCCATGCATGCTATATAGCCTGTCCACCTCATGCTGAGATTCTTATTTGATATTCTCAAATCAGAAAACAGATACATATTCGAATAGGCACCATATTCATATTTAAGTATGTATGACTAAAATGACACAAAACAAAATAAAAGCTCCTTTTTGCAAGATAAGTAAGGGAATAAAGGTTAAGTTTTTATGTCATATTTTTAGGGCCTCTAGGTCAAAACAAAAATTTACACTTGTTCATATAAATGTTCAAACTTCATTGCTGAGATGACTGTGTGGGTGTGTGGTCTGTACTTCCGACAAAGTGTTTTGAATGCTAACCTTAAGAGAGAAGACAATACCTGTGGGTTTGTGAACAAGCACGACACAGTTGTTGGTCTTGTTGACTGCCTGGCCTCCAGGTCCAGTGCCTCTAACAAACTGCTCATCTAAATCTTCTTCTTTCAGCTTGGGAACTCTAGAGTAGTCTAGTTTGTGTTTATTACGTACACTAATATTAATGCATTCTGATACATTAATTTTTACTGATGATAGGTGCAACAGAAATGACGGTTGTTGCTGAAAATATATGCGAGCCAGCATAGACATGGCTTCCAAGTTATGTTAATAATTTAATTCATTATACTACACGCTTGTTTTTCAGCAGTGCAAGTCCCCTCTGAAAGAACAAAGACAGACAACATAAGTTTCCACAAAGTGAACATGTGTTGAACCATTCTGTATCTACATTTTATTCTTTATTACTTCATAGTGGATAATACAGGGCGATTCTCTTTGAGGATGCTCCAAATTAATGATTATAAATCACACAAGAGTTTACTAATGAGAATCAAATGTGACAAGTCTGTAACTTGGTAGATGTGCAAATAATTGTGTTACAGATGGTGATGTTGAAAATGGTTCCTCTGCCAGGAGACACAGGCCAACATGATGCTTCATGTTTGTATATGTCCAGAGTCAGCATATGAGGAGGAATCACATGGAATCACAGACCAAAAGAAATGGTACAAACCAGGCAGACATGCACTTGGTCAGTGTTACCAGGTTTCATCATAATCAGTAAATTACTATGTGATTTTTAATTACTAATGTGGGTTCTCCTCCATGTGAATCACCCTATATTAAAATGAATCGCGATTGCCTTAAGTTGACTCTTCTGGTGGGTTTAAATATGATACTTTTGTACACAAAGAAACCACTCAAAGGGGAAACTCAGAGAACCAAATGTGAAACTAGAGCCTACTGTAACCATTGGATGCCCTGTCAGCTTCAGTCTTTCTTAACCATCAACATTAAATAGTGAGTGGTTACAACCAGGGAGATGCTTACAGGGTATTGACCTAAGGATAGATAACTATGAAATTATGTAACTGAAATCAACCCCTCCCCCTCTTCCAATGAGCACGTAGATAGTGCAAATATATGTAGGTTTATTCCTTACAATCACCAGCCACCTACGAACTGGAAATACTACTGGCAGGAATTTGTGGAGCTACGAGTAGACCACAAACTCTGAAAATCCTCCTTGAAAGACCCTGAGTCCATATTGCCTTTTTATGTGGGTACCGGGTTGCAGGATGGTTTGACACAACATAGTATCAGCACCCCAAGGTTTACAGTAATTGTTGGCAGCTGAGACAGGATAACAGACCATGGTGTAACAGTGGTCTTGATCTTAATGCTCATGACTCTATAATTAGGATCATACTACACAACTTACTTGAAAATAAAATTTGATGTCTTCTGCTTTTTCAATATCTTTAGCTTGCTTAAACTCTTTTCTTACTCTGTTGACAAAGTAGTCCTTATCAGTGAATTGTAACTGTCTTCCATACCTCAGGAGTTCTCGATACAGCTGAAGAACCTGTCTTCCAGTAGGGGTGCTCATAATCTGCCTAATACACACAGAGTACCTGTAAAGTAGCAGATTTACTACTCTTATTTTGGCTCTGTTATGAACTATGGTCTTTGCTTTTGGGGAGTCTCGCCTCATAGTATAAAAGTATTTAGAATGCAGAAGAAGATAATTAGAATTATGATCGGCTGTAATAGTAGAGTTTCATGTAGAGATCTCTTTCGGAAATTGGAAATTTTGCCTTTGGCTTCACAGTATATTTTTCACTCATGCTCTTTGTGGTTAATAATAAAAGTCTCTTTATTCCAAATTCACTAAATCATAATATAAATACAAGACATATTACAAATTTCTATCAACCCATAGCAAATTTTACGGTATATCAAAAGGGAGTGTATTATATGGGCATAAAAATTTATAATAATCTTCCTTCTTATATAAAAGAAGAGTCACTCAACCCTAAGAAGTTCAAAATTTGTTTAAAGCGTTTTCTTTATCTTCATCATTTTTATTCTGTGGAAGAATATTTCCAATATAAATCATTATAAGTTAATGATTATGCATTCACTAGAATCACCTGTTGATCATCCAGTCTTTTATTAGTATTATTCTAGTCATTATTCTATTATTCTAGTCTAGTCATTTAAGCAATTTCTGTGATATGTTCAAACTGACATTGTTTAAATTTAAACTGCATGTTTCATTAAATTAACTTATATGACTGGAATCTATTTGATTCTACATGTTTTGTTTCAATTTTTGTATTTTATACTTTTTTATTTATGTACTTAGTTCTTGCTCTATTAATTTTAAGAATAATCACTGTATGGACATGTCCTATATCTCACTTGTATTGTGGATCCATGGAACGAAAAATAAATGAATGAATGAATGAATTGATTCTGTATAGTTATCTATCCAGAGTTCTGCTATACGAGTAAATACAGTTCATACTGGGTTCCATTACAGTAAGCACAAACATTGCTTTACTAGTTTATTCTTCTGGTTGCAAAGTCGTGTTTAATGCATGTTGGTGAAGCGTAAAGAGTGATATTACCATGTTCACAAGAGCCTGCCTGCGGATTCTATCCTACACCCTTGTACCCTATGATTTTACCATTGGCTTTAATATTGTCCTCCAATTTATGCCTTAAAATGCATTTTAATATTATCCTGCTGAGTTCACTCAGACTTATACCTTCCTTTAAGGTTCTCCAACAAGAATTTTGTGTACTGATACAGCTGCTACTGTGAACCCACATACTTACAGTTGGTATAGCAACTATGCTTACAGGCTTCACAACCAAGGAACTGAGGTTCAATTCTTGACAGGGGAAAGAGACTCTTTTGTTCTCCATTCTCCTGACTGGCTCTGGGACCCACCCAGCCACTGATCCAATGTGTAGGGAGAACAATTTCCCCAGAGGTAAAGCAGCTGGTGCATTAAGCTAATATGCACTTCCAGCTACAGCTGGGGTTAAGAATGTGTGGGACTACATATTCAATCTGCCATTCCCTGATGATACAGTGCATACAGGGACAACTTTACCCTTTATATTCACCTTACACAAATAAAAAAAGAAAAGAACCTGCATAACAGATTCCCATCTGCTAAACTGCGCTTAACTTTGATCTTGCACAAAGCAAAGCGGTATTATCTTGAATGAATCCCCACGGCTGTTAATTTCGGTTTTCTAGACTGGAGCTGCTATTTCCTTGAAATAGCTCCTCAATTATCATCATGAGGCTGAGTGGACCCCATTCCAGAAAAAATCTGGTAGCGCCAGGAATCGAACCCGGACCTCTGGATATATATATAGCGAGGAACGCTGACCACTAGACCACAGAGAAGGTCACAACATAAACGCAGTATGTGAACAAAATTAAAACATGTGCTACAGAGTTACCACTATGCTTTAAAGGGTTAACCTAATGAAAGATTCCTTAAGGTGGATCACAGCTTACATATTTTACACAAATATAACCATACTATGAGGTATGCTGTCTTCTGGGATGTGGGAACCAACATTTCTCCAAAACATTGGTTCACACAGGATCTACAAGGTGCCACGTTCCAGAAGACTGCATTCTTCAGAGTGAAAACCTTAAATGTTACATAACCATACTATTTGTATATGGCTACATAAATCTAAACCTCTGGTACCCAGCATCTGTATGAAAGTACCTTCTGGTGAATACATGTTGGGATTAATTTTTAAACACATTTCTGTTTATGCTGGAGTTGTATGATGATTTCTGTAAACATACAAAAGAATTGTACAACAGCGAGGAATCTAGTATGAAGATATTTTATTCACAGTCCAGTTATGCTTGATGTCCTCTCTATATCTGCCACATTTCCCCTCTGAATTTCTTCTATATCTTTCTTTTCTCTCTCTCTCTATGTATGGTATTGCCAGTATTTTCTTATGAGAACATTTCTGTGATTAAAGGAAAATAATGGGAAACAAGATATATATATATATGCAAACTTTGAATACACTTCAAATGTTACAAATTTGTAGTAAGGTAGTGTTGAGTGTTCTGGCAAAGTGGAAACAACTGGAAATGATCAGACTACTTAGCGAAATGAATACCATTTATGAGATCCACTATGACAATACAGCAAGAGGCAAATTTTATGTTTGTAGTAAACAGTGTGCTGAATATTTCTGTGAATTTCCATGTTTTCACCTATATTGGCATGTATTTTACAGCCATGAAATAATCTGAGAGACTTCAGGTTCTCACAGCTGTGAATGTAAAAAAGTATACACTTGGAGGTTTGAGTTGAGCAATATTGCTTGTGAAGGTTGCTTTTCGATACTGACGATATGAGTAGTACATTCCTCTGATACATCTGTAAACGTCTACCCAATTTTATGGAATCACGTCCCAGATAACATTATTCTTCATGAAAGTTTGTCTATCCAAGAGATATATGCATTTAAATCATTGCGTACTTTACAGGAATTGACTTCTCTTCACCTTATTTTTTGAGGAACCCGAAAGATCTTCAGTTTCAAGTCAACAATGCCATACACAAGTTGAGGGCATGCAAGCAAGATAGAAGTGTTTCGTTCTTGGCACTAAACGCCCTCAATGTTGGGTTCGTTTCACCAAGATACAATATACAGAAGAGAAATGCTTTTAGTATGAAAGCTTGTCTCGTCAGTTTACAGAACTCTATACCAGCTGCAAAAAGCGCACTAGCCGGACGATTCCCAATTCATTGATACAAACAGAAGTAATGACTTACAATCACACTATTCGCTACCTCTCATAAATGCTGTACTTCATTTATCTGTTACAATCATATCCATGAGGCAAAACAAACCTTCTCCAAAGCTAAAAAAAACTACACACATCATAATACGCCATAATATAATAAGTCCAATTTTACATGTTAGTATCTGCATTCTACACAATTTCCTAGATTACGCCAGACTGATTTGCATTCATATCATAAGATTTACTCTGATATTTCAGACTTCTATCATTTTTATAGATAATAGCATTTTCGTGAAGGCAAAGGCAATTCTTTCATGTTCAGACAAAAATTATGACAATATTTTAGGTCGGTGTTAAAATAACTATATTGGCTATCCTGGCAGGTTTAATGGCCGAACTTGCACGTTGATAAGACAAGTTCCAGGGATACAGTAAGAGCGAGTTTGGTAGGGAAATAGATTAGGAACGGATGTGATAGAGTGCTGCACTCTGGCGGCAAAGTACAAAGGTAATGTGCGTAATGTTCGTGTGTGTTTGCGGTGTGGAGTTCCATTGTCCCTTATAAAGTGTAGTTGGCGATATTTGTTATTAGGTACACAGAATTCCAGTAAGATTTGTGATACGTTATTCAGTGCATAAATAACTAACCGTAAGTATCTTCAGTTGTCATAGTATTTCAAGGTCGTTTTGGTCACAGATGTGTGGCAGTAATTGTTTTCCAGTAACAAATTCATGATGATGTACCTATTGATTTAATTTTATCATTGTTTGAAATTGTGTTTGAAGCGTATGTATCTGGAGTTTTGTGTTTACGGTACTGTAAAATCATTTATTTACGGCACTCGCGTTTCACTATTGTGCATACTTTGGAATCACTTTCCATTTTAGTATTTGTTTCAGAGAGACTACCTTTTTGTCCTATATAAAACATTGTTTCCCTTTTAAATATGGATGTTTGGATACCGAATTAACACAAAATAGCGACATTATACATGGATAGATAATCTTTTGCCAAATTAAAGAGGTTATATGTTAATTTAGAACCTTGATTGGGACTGTAAAAGGATGCAGTGTTTGTTGTGTCTTGGACCCATTACTGTTTTCCTTGATAGGAGGAGAGAGTTACATAAGCCATTAGTCTACAAAAGTTTTTACTCACATTTCACTTCCATATCTTTGCCTTCTCTTTTAGATTAGATCATGATTGAATTACCCTTCATTTAATCATGAGTGTCTATTGTTTTATATATACCAAGGTACAGTTGATGTGGGATGTGCCACAAGATAGCAGTATTTTATCTGGAGTGCCTGAAATACTAGTAGTATTCAGAAAAGCAGAAGATCTGTTGGATAAGAGTAAGACAAGCCTTATAGTTACAGGATTTGAGTTTCTTATAGTGGTGCTCATGAAGTGTTATGCCTTCCGGGATATAACACTGTGTTGTCCATTAAGAATAGACAATAGCTACTTGCATAATGCTGGTTTCTTGCTTTGCTTATTCTTCGATGTCAAAAATGGTGGAAAAGTGCCTCCAGAACTTTGGTTGATTTTAAGTGGACTGCATGGCATTATTTCCCAGAAGACAGACTCTTCAAACCATATAGTTATATGCAAAATTATGTGGTATGCAAAACAAAATTAACAATGTAGCTTAAAGTGCATTAATGCTATAATGATTAATGAAGTTTAATTACTACATTTTAGATAGAAAAATTTACTTGG